TGTCGATGATGCTGCCCAGATATGTAAAGGTGTTAATGTCCTCCAAGGCATCTGCATCAAGAGTGATTTGGTTGGTGCATAGTTAGTTAGTTAGTTATAAATATCTTTCATTGAAAACACGAAATGTTTTGACAAAATTGATTATTGTGATTGAGGTGTCATTTTTCTTTTCAAAAATAGTTTTTATTTTTCTCGTGATGTTCTATTTTAAGCATGTTTCACATGAAAATATAAACGAAAAAGAAATTTTTTATCATCCAATGTATTTTTCGATCAATGAAAGATTATTATAATTATTATTAAAAGTGAAGAAGAACTATTGCATGCCTCAGTAGTTGTATGGTATGTTAAACATAATCGAGCCTATTACTCTTAGTAGTGCATAAACCATGCAAAGCAGCATTCTCCAACCTACTCTGTCCTGGACCTTCCTCTCTAGTTCTACCCAATGGCTGTTCATTCTTTTCATGTCTCCTACCAACTTTCGAAGTGATGTGTCTGTCAGTCTTTCTCTTTCCGTTTGGCTGCGAGGATTCGACGTGATGGCTTACCTTGTGACGTAGTTAGGTGCTTTACTCAATGTGTGTGTCCTATTTACTTCCAGCACTTTTTAACTAATTTATTCCTCTGCCTAAGGAATCTGGTTTGTGTTCTATCAAAGTATTGTGCGTGGACAACTGTTATTAAATAACCTGTATCGTTTAAATTTTGCGGTTCTCTAAGTTTCTGCTTGATTTGGTAGAAGTGAAATTATTGATACAAATCTTCAGCTTTCAAAAAAAGACTGAAACAACTTGGTTAACATGAAGAATTGTTTAATGAGGCAAGAATAAGTAATCTTTGACATGAAGAATGAAAGTAGTTCAAATTGATTGGTAATAGGGTATGGAGCTCCTTTCTATCTGTCATCAATCTATGAATATTCTGTATTCATTTTGAACTAATAAGCAGTACATTGTGATACTGTATGTAGTTTAAAATACATCTGAGTATGTACTGGTCGGTAATCAATATAATTCACAAACTTCATGCACTGCTCTTTCCTGATAACTGTTAACAGATAACGCTCACTGATGTACACAGTTCATCTGGTGGATACGAAGCGTTCCTGACGTTTGTTATCTCACCACACTGACTATAGATCCACAGGAAGACATAGCAAAAGCGAAAAGAAATGCGTATGCAGAGAAGCGAATGAATATATATAAGCAGCCATCATTGAAGCTAGTAGAATGAACATGTGCTTAGGGTGTATAACCAATGCTCAAGTATACAGGCTCATACAAGCCTGATAATCGTAATAAGATAGATAGATAGATACAACGCAGAACTTAAGTATATCAGTTCAGGATGCCATACCTCATCAGCACACAGACGCAACTGTCAGTTCAAATCCAACAGTGATAGTGATAGTAGAAGTATGAGCAGCAATGGAGAAGATTAGGGAGCGAAGATATGATTCAAAAAGTATAATTCAGTGAGATAAATTTAGAAGGAGAAATGTAGAGGTGATCTGTAATTCAGAGGTTTATAATTAGGGAGAACACAAAGAGTGGATGCACCTACGCCATTGCAAACGATTCTGAGCCATGTCGTTCAAGGTCTCTAACCATTGGTGACTTTCGTCTCGCGGACCCCAACCACGTAGCCTACATCTATCAATATGACTCAGTCCACTAGTCAGTAACTCCATGGTGATAATCGTAATAAAAGTACAAAGGTATAATAGACAAGTTGTTAACTGTTCGAATTACTCTATCTGTTAAATAAATTCATCAAAAAGGGCTTAACTGTAAATGACACGTTAACAAAACTCAAATGTATACGAGGTGCTATAAGGACGGTTAAAAACCACTGATTACCGGATAAATGTGTTTCATCGCAACGCAAGACTTCTCTGAGGCATTTTCTCATCATCCTACAGGAAGTTGGACATAAGATATTCAGAATATTTTCAATTTCAATCAAATCATGATATGATCTGCCAAAAGTTCAGTATTACCGCTGACGACAGTCTTACCTGCCTCGTTAGTAATGAATTTCGAGAGAATATATTTCACTAAAGTCCATAGTGAGCATATATTTATAATTTGTCTGACTTTTCGGAAGAATAAATGTAAATTGAGGTAGTTGTTCTCAATGACGAAATGAAACACAAGAAATATATAAACTGCTGGATCCAATTTCATAGGTTAAAAGTTTACGTGCTCACCACAAAACCTGAAAACTCTATGCTTATTTCCTGATTTGTCTTCATGAGAAAAAGCGAGACAATTATAGCTTCATGATCAAACTATTCATTGTAAAGTATACAAACAAGACTTTCAAAATAAATTTAAATACGTGTCAGAATGATTAGCATAATTTCTGATTTCTGATTATTTACGTAATCTACTGTATTCATCTCAAACGATTCTGTTGTGAACAATAAGTAATTATAACTTGACCTAAAGTATGATTGTTTCATTAAAACGACTTGTGACCTTTTTCATTATAGAACTGATTTAGTCTGTAAGCACTGGATGGCCTTTTCATCCTGATATGGGACTTATCAACAGTGCACATCCATGACTGCTGCCTCTCGTAGGATTCGAACCTAGGACCTTCATTCATTTGAGTGAACGCCTAACCTCTGGGTGACTGAGTTAGGCGGTATCCAACGGTGTTAATATCTAACTCGGACTAATAAAAGGGTTTTGCGCAACCTCATTTATTGTCTTCCATAGTTACTGCCTACACCCAAACAGGGTTGAACTCCACTGGTCGTGGATGCGCACTAATGAAGTGTTCCATACAAGTACGAAACGGTCGTTCAATGCTTCTTTCACGTTTCGAATGTTGGTCTAACAATGATTAAATCACGATTTCACTGTGAATTCTGTGATTTATGAAGTCCTCAGAGTCTTCAAACATTTAAAACACAATCAAATTGTTTCCTGCGTACATTTTTTCGAATAAAGAATAAGATCTTCAGTAGAATCATTTTAAAAACAAGGAGAAACGCTAGCTCAATATTTTATCTTTGCTTCAGACTCTTCAACAATGTACACTTGAGATCTTAATCCAACCGAGTCATAAACTCTATGTCAGTTAGTTTTAAATTGATTATGACCATATTAGTACAGCAAAATAAAATACATATATTTTATTTCTTTCCTGCATTACCAATGTAACGCGATATATTTTATGCATTAGTTAGAAGAACTAAGCGTTAAATTGACAGTTCAACTGTAAAGTAAACACTAAAACAGACAGTAATCTAACAGACGGTAAGTTGTTAAGCTAATGACTGATCTAAGGAATTTCCAATCCAACAACTCTTGAGGTTTTAAAAAAAAGATTTTGTGTATATATTTTCGTATAAAGTCGATCATTTTAGTTCAGCGAGTCCTTCTGTTGACCAGATGTTCCGTATTCTTGACATTATTTCCCATGAATTCATATTGTCAATAATCCTAACCAGGAATTTATTTTAGGACAAATAATCACGTATCTGAAATTAACCAGTCTGTTCTCTGTTGTAACATACAGAAGAAGAAGTCAGTCACTGCTTGAACAACTCAGTAGTAACATCACGGACTTCTAGACAGATTGAATCATGTTCTTATTCCAGCAGTCAAAACCCCAGTTACCTTGAAACTGCTGATCAACCTTGTTAAAGAGTAACAAACATAAATCTCAAGTTTCCAATCAGATCTTGCAATCTTGCACGCGAATGTGTAACCTCTCGACTATTGATCAGGTAGTATCCAACAGTGTTCATGTCTAATTTGAATCAGTCCACGATTTAATTTGGCGATATTTGACAGTTATTGGTAATTAAAAACTTTAAAATTCAAAACAGTGGTTCCCTTTGATAAATTTGAATAGAGAAATAAGACATATTTTCAAAACTGTATTTACACAAATAACATGTTGCTTGTATGTGACTGACGAGAAAGCACGAAATGGTACTATCTCACAAAATATGTCTTCTTATTTCTCTAAAAACTTTAAGTATTATATGTCACATGTGTAACCTGAACAAACAGATATCTACAACTTTCACCTTCAAAATAGCTTTACTGAAAGGGGGAGACGAGGGGTCAACTAGCCAATTAATCACCAGATTCTTAACGGCTTACAGAAGCACTCCGAACCATACGGTCCCAGAGGGGAAGTCTCCAGATGAAGCAATTTTCGGAAGACATATTCGTACTATTTTTAACGCGATGTTGCCCCCTAAAAGAGCGAATATTTACAGGCCAAATTAAAATATTCACAGCTTCAACGTTGGCGATAAAGTGTTCCTAAAATCATATCTGGGGAAAAATCAATGCGAACCAGGAACTGTCATCCAAAGACTAGGAAGAGTTTTGTAACGAATAACAGGAGCTTTCGGAAGCTGTGTTAGACACACGAACTAACTGCGAAAGGACGAAAGAATGGTACGCTCGGATGATAATCGCGTAAATCTACCGCTGGAGTTGATCACAGAACCGACAACTACACATTTGTCCCGGAATACCGAAGAAAATGGAAGGTCGGAGACACTAACTCGAAAAACTACAACCAGAATGGAACGCCGCCGCAAACTAGTCGTAAGACTACAAGTGGAATCAAGAAAAAAAATCTTATCCCCGGGGAGGGGTAGGGATAGCCAATCGAAAATCCATCCACGCACATTGTGGACTGATCATGAACTTATCGATTAAATGCTTAAATATTTCAAGGGCAGTCGATCGACGAACTATTTGATTAGTGTTCAAATATATTAAACGACCACAATATCGATTATATGTATAATTGTATAATAAATACGATTGTTCGATTGTATATTTTTGATTTCGTTAATAAGTGTTCTCCAACGTCTTCCGTCTTCTTATTTTTTTTGAACGGTGAGAGTCTAACGTTCGGTGTTGTCATTTGTACAGTGGTTTGGCGTTATTCAAGTTACAGAACCAAACAAATTGACATTTGAACGAATACCGATTCAATTAAAACAATTCTCAGAACAACAATTAGAAAAAGCAGTAATATTTTATTCATGTACAAAGAATTCATTGACAAGTAATACAAAATCAAGGCACAAATACACAAAAAGAACTAGTTCTCGTCGATTCACTTGGTAAATTTGAAATGTACAAGTTATGCAATATACATTACATGATTATTACTGATAAGAAGAAGCATTGAAACATTGATTCTGAGGACCTGATTATTTATTATATTACAACTATAATGATTTATACAAAAGTATAGAATGATTTCCAAGAAAGAAATATATAAATTTATTTGCTTCATGTGATACAAAACTGAAAAATTTAAAGAAAATAAAAAAAAAAAGAAATTTGTTATAATTAACAACAAAAGATTGAACATTGAATTGATCAATTGCAATCAAATGGAAATTGTGTTGTTTTATCATGTACTTTTGTGAGTATTTTCAGAAGTTTGAACTACTGTTTAACAATAATACATGTGTTTACATAGAATATGAAGAAAACTCCTCCTGGAGCCCCCTGTGTGGCTACCGCTAGTCTCAAGCCAAGGTAAAAGGAGGGTTGGGCTGTCGAGTTCCTTCGGAAGCCACGAGGCCATAAAAGGTACATGAAATGTTCGTACAATGTGGAGCACAGGTAGAGTCATCCTAGTTGCTGCAGAAATGACAAGAACCTACTTGGAGGTGCTTGGAATCCGAATCAGTTAATCTATTATTCCTGAGTTCATATTCACAAACATATATTTTGATGTGATCGATTTGGTCGCTTATAGCCTTAGATGTTATTATCTAAATGCATTTGACTATTACTAGTAATTAGTCATCATACCGTATCAAAGTGAGTTAGCCCATTTGCCTTCTCCACTTTATTACACGTCGCTCTTTTAAGCTTCACATTCTAACTGTCTGTCTAATTATGTGAATATGAAATTCGCTTAAATGAAATCGCATTTTTTGGATTATCTTGTTTCATTGTTCAATTGATAATGAGGAAAAGAAACATACAAACAAAAGTAACGAATAAATTGAATAACTTCCCATCTCACTCTATCCGTTTACGCTGATAGTGTTATAAGTAAATAGGAATGATAATGAAGTTTTCAATCATTTGGTGTAGCTTCTAGATAAGTTATCACTATTCCTTACCATATTTATCATATATCAAAATATTATTAACAAAAGATAGTTAAATAAGGCTAAAATATACGTATTTCACTATTGCAATGTTTTTACCTACACTACTCGTGACTGGGAATTTCTTCACAAAACTAGTCGCTAGTGAGTATATGTGTGTTCATAGAGTATATGTATATGAATACACAATTCTTGACTGCAAATTATCTAAAATTTCTATCATTTGACTTTTCTGTATAACACATTGGTTTGAAATTTTTTTCCAATCAACTAAATCATACTTTGATCGATTCAAATTAAATAATGATCAATTCGTAATTTTTAGGTTAGATCAAAATTTCAGAGCATAAAAACAGACAAATTGTACGAACAGTATAATTTTCATTATAATTCCTACAAGTAAAAACACGGATATAAATTTTACTCAGAAAATGATTAATTAGACCACCATTAGAAACCTGGAAGCACTGAAAGACGGGCGTTTCGTCCTGGTATGGGACTCATCAGTAGCAGTGCGCATCCTCGACTCCTGTTCCCCGCAGGATTCGAACCATCGGACCACTGGGCCGGCATCCAACGGTGGTTAGTCGTTAGTCGCGCACAATACCAAAGGTCCGTCTTTCAATGTTTCCAGGTTTCTAATGGTGATCTAACAATCATTGATTGATTGATGATTTCAAATGTGTGTAAAATATAAGAAACACAAACCTGCAAAACTCTGCCACCACAAAAAAAAACTAATTGTCACTCATAATTACACCATTTTCTTACCTAGAAAATGTTCCACCAACTATACAATGCCAATATGGTTCATGTCGATGATCGAATTGTGTTTTAATTGATCTGGCTATCTCTTGTTCTGTATTATGCTCATCAATTGCATTCGCCGCTATGTACACTGCATCCTCTTGCATCATACGATTCATGTCAGCATCTTTAATCATGGCGACAATTTCTTTCATTATAAATTAAGTGAGTAAGTAAGTAATCGAAATTCAATTATCAAGTAATGAAAACCGAAAGGCAAACCAGTACAAGAAGATGCAGTAGCTGTATACTCGATATACTACTTAGAGTAAAATGTACTTGTACAAGTATGTAAATATATATATACAGAGAGAGAGAGAGATGGTCACTTCCACGACAATAGAAAATCACAATGTCAATTTGTTGAATGTTTTGCTCTGTAAAAAGTCAAATATTTATATATTTGTATGTATACACAGGGAGGGTGTAACCAACCAATCATTGAACCGAAAAGAAAAAAAATTAAAATAAAGAATAAACTTTTTTTCTCTTTTATTTTACAAAAAAAACAAACTTGTAATCGAAAAACACAATACTCAATCATATAAGGCAAAACAAACACCAACCCTATTTTTTGTCTGCTTACATCAATCTAATGTACACATATATTACATATATATCTATATAAAATTATTATGTAATGTAGTGATAGACATTAGAGTTGTATTAAAAGAGAAAAAATAACTACAACAACAGAAGTAGTAGTAGTAGTGTAAATGATCTTACTGTTTTTTTGAAGAACTAAAAAATTCTATAAGAAACAGAAATAATCTCTATCATTGTTGTTGTGTTTTTAGACAGTGATATTATAATTAAAGTCACAATGATTTGTCGAATTTTTCATCTCGCCGCCATAAATCAATATTCATCGATTGTGCTCACAGCGCAATCATGTGTGTGTGTGTGGATTGCTGTCACATGCTTGTGACTGACTGATGATTCTGGGTCGGATTCGTTGCCATACGGTTAGTCAGGTTTGTGAAAGTACACTCACTGCTGATAAGTCGTATATACTAGGAAAAAAAACACATTAGTCATCCAGTGTTCTTAGGTATTTTTTTTCTTAATGGCGGTCTAATAAGGATGGATCCATTTTATAAGTTCAGTAACAAAAAAAGTGATGTTACTTAGAATTATTTGCTTGCCTTTTTTGATTGACACTTTTGCTACAGTTGTGATCATTGTTAAATAATGAATTGATCAAAGTTAGACATGAAAACACTGTTAGATACCGCCGGCTCAGCGGTGCAGAGGTAAGGCGTTCGTGCACAATACCGAGAAGGTCCTGGGTTCGAATCCCTGGGGGGTGCAGGAGTCGTGGATGCGTACTGTCATTGTCCCATACCACAGAACGGAACGGCCGTCATTCAGTGCTTCGAGGTTTCTTTTAATGGTTGTGGTCTAACATTGATCGATTCATTGTTTACAAACACAAAAGTGAATAGTTGGTTGATTGAAACTTGCGTATATTGCTATTATTATTCATCTTGAAAAAAATTTTTTAATAGTTATTTCGTTTTGTTCATGATTGATTTTATCAAAAAAAAACATTATGATCATTTGAATATGCGTGTATGCATACAAGTTGTACATGGATTTAACTTATTACATAATATACAATAATAATAATATTAATAATATATGATAACTTAAGTTTTATCAACAGTAGGTCAAACGTGGATGAGCAGACTTCAAATAATCATCAAAAAATAAGGCATCAAAACCATTACGTAATAAGCAAATGTGTTGAAAATAAAAATTATCATGTCAAACGTTAGTTACGTCATATCCGGCCACGAAAGAGATTGTGGGTTGTCATGACTTTCTTCTGAACACACATAAATTGGAGTTGAATGCACGTATGAATTCCTTTTGGCTTCTGCAAAGTGTGTGTAGGAGATGGGATCGAACTCCGTTGGGAAATGATGATGGAGATATACGATGATAGATAACCGCCGAAAAGATTTATCTAGATTTATCTACATACAATATGACTACTATCTATCTACCAGGTGTGCTAAGATAGAACTACGTATTATTTTCAACTGACCCTTCGTAAACGTAATAATAATAGTTATATTAATAATAAAAACATTATCGCTGACATCTGACATCTGAAAAAAAAACTAATCTCTGATTGAATTCTTTTGAATTGTGTTCAGATGACTCCTTCACAATTGAACAAGTAATCAATATTCAATAATCACTTGTTCATTAATTTTACTTAAAAGGCAAAAAATTCAATAAACTGATACTTACATTCTATGATGTATTGCAAATGATGTGATCGTTCAAAAATAAGAAGTCAAAAATAAAAACAGTAAAAAGCAAATGTTTCAATGTGCATATTCGATCATAAAATAACAATCAAAATTTTACTTACGAATCTTTTAACAAAAAGAAAAAAGTTTCACAGAACGCGTTGAGATTTACACTTTTAAAAAATTATTCAGTCATTGTATGATTTATATACAGTTGAATTAAAAGTAAATTATAATCTGTAAAGATCAATTTAAAACACGTACTCATATTATAGATACATCTATATACCTATAAATATATACATAGGTGTATATATCACGTCTATAATTACTTATCTGTTAATCGTATTTGATCAGCACATAAAAATCATACTGATGAATGACACAAAGTTAATTTATTTCATGATTTGAATTTAACATGAATGATAATGATGATTGATTTCACATGATATTTATTGACAAGAATGATAAAGTTTTGTGATAATAATTGACTGTTGAAAAGAAATTAAAAAACAATTTTCACAAAATAAATTCTCTGTTGTTTTGTTTTGTTTCGTTTTATTTTATTGATTGCTTTTCCTCGGAGTTTCTTTTTATAGCAAGTTAGTTTTCTGTGAGATAGAATGGTTAACTCCCTTGCCTAACTCTCCTTCTTTATCCAGGTTTCACACTGGAAATAACCTCAGAAGGATTCTAGAAAAAGGTAATTGCATTTACCTTACTTACTTAATTACGCCTGTTACCCCCAACTCAGCATAGGCCGCCGACCAGTTTTCTCCAACCAACTAAGTACTGAGCTTCCCTTTCTAGTTCTTTCCAGTCTTTGTTCATTCCTCTCATATCTTTCTCTCTTTCTCGGTGGAATGTGTTCCTTGGCGTTCCTCTTTTCCTTTGACCTTGAAGGTTCCATGTGAGGGCTTGTCTTGTGACACAGTTCGGCGCTTTTCGCCGTGTGTGTCCTATCCACTTCCACCACTTGTTCCTGATTTCCTCATCCACTAGAATCTGATTCTTTCTCTCCCACAGTTCGTTGTTGCTGATGGTGTCTGGCCAACAAATACGAAGTATTTTGCGTAGACAACGGTTAATGAATACTTCTATCTTCTGGATGATGGCTTTCGTAGTTCTCCAAGTTTACGCTGCATACAGTAGAACTGTCTTGACATTTGTATTGAAAATCCTGATTTTGGTTTTGGTTGGTTGGTTGTTTGGAGTTGCAGATATTTTTCAACTGTAGAAATGCAGCCCTTGCTTTGCCAATCCGTGCCCTCACGTCTGCATCGGATCCACCTTTCTCGTCGATGATGCTGCACAGATATGTAAAGGTATTAACGTCCTCCAAAGCATCTCCATCAAGAGTGATTTGATTGGTGGATGTTGTGTTGCATCGGAGAATTTTGCTTTTTCCTTTATATATGTTGAGACCTACTGCTGCAGAGGCTGCTGCTACACTGGTCGTCTCCTCTTGCATTGGTTGTTGCGTGTGAGATAGAAGAACCAAGTCATCTGCAAAGTCCAGATCGTCCAGCTGCGTCCTAACTGACCAGTTGATACCGTGCTTCCCACCACATGTCGACGTCTTCATAATCCAGTCGATGACCAGGAGAAAGAGAAAGGGTGAGAGTAAGCAACCTTGCCTCACACCGGTATTCACCTAGAAACAGTCTGTTAGCTGTCCTCCGTGCACGATTTTGCAGTTGAATCCATCATAAGAGTTCCGTATGATGTTAACTATTTTCTCAGGCACACCGTAGTGTCGAAGAAGCCTCCACAGTGTTTTCCTATCCACGCTATCGAATGCTTTCTCGTAGTCGATGAAGTTGATGTAGAGTGGTGAGTTCCATTCAATTGATTGTTCCACAATGATCCGTAATGTAGCAATTTGGTCAGTACATGATTGATCCTTACGAAATCCGGCCTGTTGATCTCGAAGTTGGGCGTCTACGAAGTCCTTCATTCTGTTTAACAATACCCTGTTGAAGACTTTGCCTGGTATTGAAAGAAGAGTGATGCCTCTGTAGTTCTCACACTTGCTGAGATCGCCTTTCTTTGGTATTTTGATGAGGTATCCTTCCTTCCAATCTGATGGTACTTGTTCCCCATCACAAATCTTCTTGAAGAGGATGTGAAATGTTTTCGCAATTGCTTCTACATCTGCTTTCATTACCTCTGCTGGAATGTTGTCTGGTCCTGCTGCTTTGCCGTTCTTGATTTGTCTGATGGCCATACTGATCTCCTCAATCGTAGGTGCGCCAGCACTAATTAGGAGGTCCGTAGATGCTGCTTCGATGTTGGGTGGGTTCAGTGGAGCTGGTCGATTCAGGAGTTCTTGAAAGTGCTCTACCCACCTATTTCGCTGTTGTTCAGTGTTGCTGATTACTTTGCCTTCCTTGTTTTTCACTGGTCGTTCTGGTTTACGATAGTTTCCGGCAAGCTTCTTTGTAGTTTCGTACAATTGTCTCAAGTTTCCTTCTCTTGCAGCCTTTTCCGCCGTCATTGCTAGATCTTCCACATATTTTCATTTGTCAGCTCTGATGCTCTTCTTCACTTCCCTGTTTGCTTTTGTGTATGCAGCTTGTGTCCTAACTTTCTCCGCTCTTGTTTCGGCTGACATTGATAGCTGCCTTCTTGTTCCTTCTTTCTTCAATTTTTGCAAGAGTATCAACAGAGATCCGTTCCTTGTGATGGTACTTCTTGTGACCCAGAACTTCGTGACATGTTGAAGTGATTGCCTCCTTAATCCTTATCCAATTGTTCTCCAATGTTGCATCCTCTCCATTGAGTAGATCCTGAAAGGCCTGGAACCTATTGGTGAGGGCTATCTTGAATTCATTGAGCTTTACAGCATCCCGAAGAAAGGCCGTATTAAACTTGTGCGATGTTGTCTGTCCCGTTGTCCAGTGCTTCTTTAGTTTCAGTTTCATTTTGGTGATTAGCAAATGGTGATCTGAGGCTACATCAGCTCCTCTCCTGGTTCTCACATCCTCCATAGTCCTTCTGAACGTTTTGTTGATACAGATATGATCAATCTGGTTTTGAGTAGTGTGATCCGGTGAAATCCATGTGACTTTGTGAATGCGTTTGTGCGGGAATATTGTGCCACCGATGACCAGTTTGTTGAAGGCACATAGGTTTGCAAATCTCTCACCGTTTTCGTTTCTTTCTCCCACTCCATGTCGTCCCATGATGTCTTCATATCCTTTGGTGAACATTTATCGACGATTGACTGCAGCCTTTCGTAGAATTGATCTTTAACGTCGTCATTGTAGTCATTGGTAGGTGCATGACATTGGATGACGTTCATTGTAATGTCCTGTTTCTTTGTTTTGAA